TCTAAACTGGCTATTCTGGTTATCAGCTCCTCTATAATTTTATCGTGATTCTTAGCTTTTTTACATTGGATTACAACATGCTCCTTTAGCTCAGTGAATTTCATTATTACCTACCTCCTTAAGCCTACTTCTGCCAATTCTTCCATTTCAGCAGCCTCAGCCCAGTTCTGTGTCCTTGATGGAGAGGTGTTGTGGTCATTTAGAGGAAAAGAGGCACTCTGTCCTTTTGAGTTTTCACAATTTTTGCTTTCTTTATCATCTTTATGGGGTAATTGACCTTTGATCTTTGATGTTGCTAAACTTGGAATAGGATTTTATGGAGTCTTTTTGTTCATGTGGTTGTTGCTTTGTTTTAACAGTAAGACCACTCTTCTGTAGGACTGCTGCAGTTTGCTGAGGGTTCACTCCAGATCATAGTTGCCCTGGTCCCTCCCATACCTGGAGGTATCACCAGTGAAGGCTGTGAAACAGCAAAGGTGGCAAGCTGTTCCTTCCTCTGGGAGCCTCCTCCCAGGGGGCACTGACCTGATGCCAGCCAGAACATTCTTGTAGGAGGTGTCTGGAGACCCCTGTAGGGATGTCTCACCCAGAGAGGAGAATTGGGATAAGAGACTCACTTAAACAAGCAGTCTGGCTGCTCCTTGGAAGAGCAAGTGCATTGCACTGACCACCTGGCCTCTCCAGAGACAGGAGCCTGGAAAGATTAAGTCTGCTAACTGAAGAGACAGTAGGTGCCCCTCTCTCCTGGGGTGGGGGTAGCACCAGGGAAAGATCGGAGTTTTGTCCCTAGAACCCTGGCTGCAGTTGCTGAAATTCCCACAGGGTGGCCCCTCCCAGTGAGGAGGGATGGATTGGTGTCCCACTTAAAGAAGCAGACTGCCACAATATAAGGTGCAGTAGCTGTGCTGTGTTGTGGGGAATTCCTCCTGGTCCCCAGTACTGGCAGGCTACAGCAGCCAACTGGAACAGCAGATATGGCAGCTGCCCCTCCCCCTGGGAACTCAGTCCATCTCAGGCCATTTCCAGCCTGCTGCTGTGGGCTAGCTGGAATTCCAGTCCAGTGGGTATAATTTGTGAGGTGCAATGGTTGTGGGGCCCACAGAATGAAGGTACTTGGCTCCCTGGATTCAGCCCCTTTCCTAGGGAATGCACAGGATCTCCTGCCTTGCTGGAATTACTGGGACTGGAGTATGCAAAACTCCCAGGTTTCCCTAAATGCCCCAGTAAGCAGGTGGGCGGCCACTCTACCAAGACTTTGCATAGCTCTGTGCTTTGGACCCAAGGTCCTGGTGATGTGGGCTCATGAAAGGATCTCCTGATCCACTGGTTGCAAAGATCCATAGGAAAAGCATGGTTTCCTAGAAAGGGTTGCACAGTTACTAACCACCTTCTTTGACTGGGGGTGGTAGTTCCCCTGGCTCTGTGCTACTCATGGGTGGACCATCACCTCACCCTGCTTTTTCTCACTCTCCGTGGGTTTAGTCATCCTCCTAGTCAGTCCCAATGTGAGAACCTAGATACCTCAGGTGCAGAATTCACTCAGCATTTTGTGAGCGCTGTGGATTGCATTGGCCATCTTGGCCCCTCTCCAGTTCACTTTTCTATTGAGGTGTTCATGTTTTACTCACTGGTTTGTAAAAGTTTTGTATCTATCAGTATTTTGTCTGCCATGTGAGCTATAAATACTGTTTCCAGTTTGAGTTTAGTTTGGTGTATATGGTTGTGCCATGTACAAAGTTTTGCTTTTTACATAGTCAGACCAGTTTTTACAAATATTTGCCTATTGGGCAGATCTTTCTTCCAAGCCCTATTCTGAACCCTACTCTCTTCTGTCCCCTTTTTGTGTTTGAGATGTCAGGAGGGAAGAGAAAACCAACACAGCTCTTTTTTTTTAAATTGCATTTTAGGTTTTGGGGTACATGTGAAGAATATGCAAGATAGTTGCATAGGTACACACGTGGCAGTGTGATTTGCTGCTTTCCTCCCCTTCACCTATATCTGGCATTTCTCCCCATGCTATCTCTCCCCAACCCCCCGCCGCCGCTGTTCCTCCCCATTCCCCACAACAGACCCCAGTGTGTAGTGTTCCCTCCTTGTGTCCATGTGTTCTCATTGTTCAATACCCACCTATGAGTGAGAACATGCAGTATTTCATTTTCTGTTCTTGTGTCAGTTTGCTGAGAATGATGTTCTCCAGGTTCATCCATGTCCCTACATAGGACACGAACTCATCGTTTTTGATTGCTGCATAATATTCCATGGTGTATATGTGCCACATTTTACCTGTCCGCTCTATCATCAATGGGCATTTGGATTGATTCCAGGTCTTTGCTATTGTAAGCAGTGCTGCAATGAACATTCGTGTGCATGTGTCCTTATAGTAGAATGATTTATAATCCTTTGGATATATACCCAGTAATGGGATTGCTGGGTCAAATGGAATTTCTATTTCTAGGTCCTTGAGAAATTGCCACACTGTCTTCCACAATGGTTGAACTAATTTACACTCCCACCAGCAGTGTAAAAATGTTCTTATTTCTCCACATCCTCTCCAGCATCTGTTGTCTCCAGATTTTTTAATGGTCACCATTCTAATTGGCGTAAGATGGTATCTCAATGTAGTTTTGATTTGCGTTTCTTTAATAACCAGTGATGATGAGCATTTTTTCATATGTTTGTTGGCCTCATGTATGTCTTCTTTTATACAGTGTCTGTTCATATCCTTTGCCCACTTTTGAATGGGCTTGTTTTTTTCTTGTAAATCTGTTTTAGTTCTTTGTAGATTCTGGATATCAGCCCTTTGTCAGATGAGTAAACTGCAAAATTTTTTTCCCATTCTGTTGGTTGCCAATTCACTCTAGTGACTGTTTCTTTTGCCATGCAGAAGCTGTGGAGTTTGATTAGGTCCCATTTGTCTATTTTGGCTTTTGTTGCCAATGCCCTTGGTGTTTCGGTCATGAAGTCCGTGCCTACTCCTATGTCCTGAATGGTTTTGCCTAGATTTTCTTTTAGGGTTTTTATGGTGTTAGGTCTTATGTTTAAGTCTTTAATCCATCTGAAGTTAATTTTAGTGTAAGGTGTCAGGAAGGGGTCAAGTTTCTGCTTTCTGCATATAGCTAGTCAGCTTTCCCAACACCATTTATTAAATAGGGAATCCTTTCCCCATTGCTTGTTTTTGTCAGGTTTATCAGAGATTGTATGGTTGTAGATATGTTGTGCTGCCTCCAATGCCTCTGTTCTGTTCCATTGGTCTATATCTCTGTATTTGATTACTGTAGCCTTGTAGTATAGTTTGAAGTCCAGTAGGGTGATGCCTCCTGCTGTGTTCTTTTTTATGTAGAATTGACTTGGCTATAAACATAGCTCTTTTTAAAGAAGAATGGAGTAACAAATAAGAAAGGTCTTTAAGATTACTCTTTTTCCTAATCTTTTTTTGTAAAGTAAAAGCCCTCCAAAAACCCATGCAAATCCCTCACTACTTTGCTCACTCTGACCTAGGCCAAATGTGTTAATGCCAAATCAGAGCCATCTGCACTGATTTTCTGCAGGCAAAATCCCTTTCCCTTGGGAATGAGACACAGCCTCTTTCAAAGATTCCTTCTCCAGTTCCCACTCCTTGTCTGTGCTCTAGTAGTGAATCAGGAAAGACAGCGATTGAAATAGCATATGGCAGCATCAAATACAAAGTTTTTCTTTGACAGTTTCAAGAGTTTGTCACTAACTTTCTCAAGCTGAAAGCTAGTGATTTTACCTTAGTTTCTTCACTGTAGTATTCAGAATCAGTTTCAGTCTTCTATCAGATATATAGCAATCATAAATATTTAAATATTCTGAAGTATTGTCCTGATTCCTATTTCAACCCATGCCCCACTGAGCTGAGCTAAACATTCCAACTCTATTGACTTGTGTGTGAGAAACTAGGGATTATTTTTTATGTTTTCTTTTCAGTTGTTGCAATGGTAAAATAGCAAGGGCATGATTTTATTTTCTGTGTTATCTGTGAATGGCCTATAAAACACTGAGCACTGAACTTAATATATGTAACAAAGCAATGGTGAAGCTGAAATTCAAAGAGAAGTCAGAGAAGTTCAGAGACCCAACTGAACTGTTGAGAATAGTATTTCAGACTTGGAAGTAGAAGACTAAAGTTTATTTGCTTACTTCCATCTCTTGATCATTAATTACAGTTATTCAATTAATAATTCAGTGTCCTGAACTATTTTGATAACTTCTCATTAAGAGAATCAAAGCTGATAATTAAGGGATGAGTCAGAAACCTCATCCACAGAGAGCAAGGGCCCAAATGAAGAACATAAAAGATGTATCATTTTACATTCCTAATATGTAAGTGGACTATGAAGATTGATAGCACTGAATAGGAGAGAGACGAAAGTATGAGCTTTCGGAGTCCTGCTTTCTTCATAGCCAAAAATCAATACTACAAAGATGCCCAACATGCATCAGTAACTGTTCATCAATTATTTACTGGGCTCTTTTTTTCCAAGTTCTGTTTACAAGATTACTTTGTAACTTGAAATGATTGTTTCCTTTGCTATGGCTGCTGAATGGGGCTTGAGGTTTTTGCAAGATCAACCTGAAAGAACTGGTGTGTGGGTGTGTGTCTGTCTGTCTGGCATCTGTTGTCTCATGTTTCAGATTCAATCCATTTTTTGCATCTTTCTGGTGGTGCTCTCATGTCCACCACATAGGTATTACAGGCCAAGGCATTTACCTGTCCATGAAGACAGCACAAGGGTTTCTAACATTCTGCCAAACTCACATCTAAGGGCAATAGGAAGCAATGATTCTTGAGTGTTCTTTGAGTTGGTCCTTTCTTTCCCAAAGTTCTCAATAACTTGGAAACAAGAAAAAAACACTAAAAGATCCAGTCTTATTTGTTCCCAATTTTCTATCAGCTGCATGCACTTAAACCTTAAGCCCACTTTTCAGTGAAGACTTTTTGGTTTCTTTTGGCATGAAGTGACTAGTTGGACTACAAGTTATTCATAAACTATGCACAACTTTATTAAGAGCTTATTACAGTCCATGGGCATTTGTAAATTCAACCAATTGTGGATCAAAAATACTTGGGGGGAAATAAAGACGGTTGTGTCTATATTGAACATGTACAGACCTTTTTTCCTGTCATTACTCCCTAAATACAGTATAATTATTATTTATATAGTATGTGCATTATATTCAGTATTATAATTAACCTAGGGATGACTTTAAGTTTATGGGAAGATGTACATAGGTTATATGAAGATACTATGCCAGTTTGTTCAGGCTAGACTGCTTTACTAAATGGTGATGTTCATCATCAGACTTGCATTGGATTTATCCTTGGTCAGTGGGTCCCTAATTGTGCACAAAGTTGTTTGTACAGAAGCATTTTCCAGTTTATCTGTGAAATAGGCATTTTTGGTATGGTGTTTCCATTGCCACTTCCAAGAGTTAATGCTCAATCTTGTATACATACCAACAGGTTCTTGCAAAAATTCAAATAAAAGAAGCTGGCCAAGTAGTGATGGTGGTAGATGAGGGAGTATATATAGACCCATAAAAGGGGCAGCTTCTCCTCTGCATCCAATGATGTGAGAGAACATAGGCTCAATGTTGCCACATCTGTCTATTTAAGCAACCTTGGAAAGCCACATAACATATGCTAGATTGTATCTGCTCTTATAATCAAGTACAGGCTTAGCTGCTCACCACTTGTAAAATGAATAACAAGATGAAGTGGAGTGAAAGGAAAGTGATTTTATGTCCAGAGCTAGCAGTGAGGAAACAGCCAGCTCACCCTTTCTAGAACTGCCTCAAACTTTAGGCTGTGGAGAAAGGCTTCAAGAGGCTGCCATTTTCCCCAATGGACCACTGATTCTCTGGAAGTGGTTTACTCACCAGGGATGTACCTTAAGGTGAAGTAGTGTCATTATTAATTGATCTTATTTGGGGTACAAGATCAGACACACGGGCTAAAAAACTAAGTCACTGTTCCATGTACCATAAAATCTCCTTATATATTTTTTAACTCAATACTAAATGAGTGTGCCTAAGGTTAGTGGTAAATAGGCTTGGGAGAAGAAATGAAGCCACCCAATACATGTGTCAACTTTACCATGTAGTTCACATCCCCAAAGTTAAATGTTATTTTTAAAATGAGTTTTTCACATTTAAAATGTGCAAGCCTAGGTAGAATGTTAACAGAGTCTTAAGGCATATATAACCACAAAAACATGTATGCCATGAGCAGGATGAATTTTTTTACTTATTCATATGATCATAACAAATTTAGTATGCATCTAGGCAAAAATTTAGCAAATCTTTCCATTCCTTCTGGAATAATAAAATCAGGTAACTGTTATGCTATAAACACTGAAGTATTGATTTATTTTCCCCCCATAAATGTGAACGGATAGGGATAATTAACTGACATGGTACAGAAACTGTTTTTGGCATTTCTTAATATACAAAATTCACCCCATATTTTTACAGTATTTTAATAATAATATACATTTAAAATCTTGGTTAGTCATTCTTCATCTGTTTCATATGTTTCTGCATGACAGCATCTGTGAATATGTGGAGACATGTCTGCTGAAAAATCATTAAGCCAATCAAGACTATGATTTTAAAGAATTAAGATGGCTAACAAGTAGGGAAACAGCTAAGTTAAGAACAACTCATTTACTCTCTCAAAATTCAGCACTGAAAGACTCCTCTTCAGGAGGTAACAAAATATTTTCATAGAATTGGCATAAATTTGATCTAATAAATCACCCTTGATCTAAATTGAGATTGTTTTATATTTAAATGATTTACCTTCATGACTACACAAAAGCCATAAAAACTCCAACAAGTTTTATAAATATGTTCTGATAGAACTTTGGTTATAAAATATTGGAATTGATGTGCTTCCTTAGCACTCAGTAAAATGGTGCATTGAAGTTAAAATACTCTCACTTTATGTCTGCTAACCTGACAATGGAAAGCAAAATGCAAAAAATTAAATTATCAAAAGTAAAAAATACAATGCACACATAATATTCCAACTATGCCCTTCTATTGTCAAGGGTTTATAAAATAAATATTCTTTACCACTTAATCCGTTGATCTCTACCAGTTTTCTTCACCAGTTAATCTACATCTGCAAATATATTTGCTAAAAATCTTTTATTATTTAGACCCCTTTAAAACCACTTAATGCAAAAGGAAAAGTCAAAAGAGGAACAGAAACAAGATCCTTTGAAACATACATCCAAGTTCTTTTGTAAAGGTAGAAAGAAAGTAAAGACCGAAGGTGTGTGTAGTAGTGATGCATTTTGAAAACTCTGATTTGCTCTTCTAGGATTTTGGAGGTATGTTCGTTGAGAATCCAGATAGGATGTCAAATGTGTGGTGCCTTGCAGTTATATTCAATGAAATAAAATCACAAAGCAGAGAGGGCTGGGCCAGTTAAGTGAATGCCACTTCTCACAGCACACATATACAAATAGGAAGTTGCTGAAATCCAAGACAATTTTCTGCAAAGTGGCCAGGATGGGAATTTCAGCAAGAGCCCTGCATCCTGCTGCCCCTCCAGGAATGAAGCACACCTCTCTCTCTGCTACCGCGTCACCTAAAACAAATCAAATAAGGGAACATTGAACACTCCATACCGACCAAAATAACCATTCCTGCCTCTGGGAACAATAAGGTCCTGACTGAATAGTCTATCAATTTGTACATTTGCTAATAACCAACCTCACCAAATCAACTGTTCAAATTCTGCTTTGCAGCCTACAAACAAGAAATGTAAAGAATACATACACAAAGTCTTCCGTAATGGATTATGCAGTCTGGCTTTGTATTTGTGAGGTTATAAAAATCCCATTTGATTAAGTACATTCATCACCCATCAATTCATGCATGCTGAGCATGCTTTGTTAATGGCACTAAAAATTTTTCAAAAAAATGGCTGATTAAAATCAGTCCATGTCAAGATAAAAATGTTGCCTTTGTTATTTTTTTAATGCAGTTAACTTTCACTTTTGAAAATAAATTATTTTATAAAACTACTGTATTATTAAAAATGGTAGTGGCTGCATTTTTGCTTTTTAAGCATTCAGGCTCATTACTTGTGATCTAAGAAAATAGAAGAGCATTTCTATACTTGATTGGTCATGTAAGAAATTTTACATGTTAATCAATATACCAGCTCAGGTAGAGGGAAAAAGCATAAGACTTTTTAACATGCCTGTATCACAAAAATATTTTTTCAAAGCAAGTTAATTGATAATACAGTCACTGTACCTGTGCTTTAAATTCAGCTATTTGTGCAAACCTTAGCCTTGCTATTAACTGACATATGGCCTTTATGTATTCAACAGTATTTCTGCCCTTTTGTTTGTGCTAGGTAACTCCAGCAAATGAAGCAAAACCCCTGCCCTCATGGAGTTTACCTTCTAGCACAGAAGCTGGAAAACTTTTACTAGAAAGGACTAAATATGGTAAATATTGTCAGTTTTACAGCCATACAGTCACTGTAGCAGTCATATTAATACTCACTGTGAAATAAAGGCACTCTGCCTTTATTTCATTCACAAAAGCAGCCATAGACAATAAATAAATGGATGGCATTGCTTTGTTCCAGACTTTACATATAGATGGTGACATTTGAATTTCATATCTGTATGCATTCTGAAATGATCTCCTTTTGATTTTTTCCATCCATTTAAATATGTAAAACCCAGTCTTAGCTCATGAGCCATACAAAACCAGGCCCAGGGCTGGATTTGGCCTTTAAGCCACAGTTTTCTCAAACCTGTTCTAGAGGAGGAGGTTGGACAAACAGGTAAATATGAACAATATGGGCTATGGAGAAAAGTAAGGTGGTATAGAGGGGAAAGGCAGGCTGGGGCAGGGAGGGGAGAGGGCTGCTCTTCTATACATTATGTCAGGGAAGGTTGAAGGAAGTAAGGGAGGCCTGACTCACTGGGAAGAGAGAAAGTAGTAAATGCAAAGACTTTGGCCTTTCTCTGACTGAGGTTCAAGGAAGAGATGAGGAATGCATGACAGGACTGTCAACTTAAAGGGTTGTGACAAATAGGATTAAGATGTAAGAAAAAGAGGAGTCAAGGACAATTCCAAGATCTTTGCGGCTTGAGCAACTGAATGATGGAGGTGGCCATGTTCTGTGTTGGGGTAGATTGTCTCTCTCTTTGCCTTAGTTTCTTCATCTCCAAAATACAGATAATAGTACCTGCCCCCTTCAGTTGTAGTAAAGAGTGAATAAAGTATGTGACTTGAATGACACAACCCAGTGGTTAACACATGGTTCGTACTCAGAGAATGGTGGCTATTGTAATGTTAGCTCTTTTGATATCTATTAATCTATATGAAGGATGTAATTGTCAAAAGCATCTTCTTTGAAACAACTCATTCCCTATGCCCAGCTCATTGTGGACAACTTTACTTGAAGTTGGATGATAAAATGCTCTCAGTTTTATTTTCCATTAAAACTATTATTGTACTGATTACATGTGGAAGATTCATTGCTGCTTCTGAATTTTAATGGATACAGGGGTACTAAGATGCCAATATTAGCTGTACTCCCTTTCATCAGGGTACCTTGAGCATTTCAAGTCTGACTACAGCAGAGATCAGGGAGGACAAAACTTCAGGGTAAAGAAGTCATCTGAGCTGGACATTAAAAGGCAAGTGGAATTTTAGAAGGGGAAGTGGGAGGAGGAGGAACCAATGGTATGGGGAAGTATATGACCTATACAATGATTGGCAGTGAAGGCCCATTTAAGATACCTATAATCTGTATTTTGCATAAGTTTCCAATGGGGATCCATTGATGGTCTCTCAACAGGGAGGGAAGCTGGGCAGAGTTTCTCCTTGTTGCAGAGAAAGCAGGGCATAAGCCAATTAAAGGTGAAAACAGGTAGAGAGCTCAGTTGGACTAATGGTTCCCTCATATTGCCTGTTCATCAACTATTTTTAAAAAGCAGGGTTTTCTAAGCACTATCTCAGACTTACTCTACCAGAATATCCTAGAGGTAGAGTTCAAAACTGTGTATTTTTTTCACGTTTTCATGATACCATTATGTTATGATACTGACAATGGTCTGTAGTGATGGTCCGAGAGAGAGGCAGGTTAGAGAACCATTTGAGGAAAATACTTGGAAGGTGCTGAAGCCAAAACTGTTGCTTCATTTCTGTAGAAATTTTCCAATATGAAATGTTGGAAATATTTAGACAATAGAAACTTTCAAGTAGGAAGTTTGCAAGCAGCTACTGAAAAAAATATACTGTTCTCTAAAGCAGATTTTCAACCTCCATACATTGACATTTGGGGGCCAAATAATTGTTGTAGAGGCTATCTGTGCTTCATAGGATGTTTCGCAGCATCCCTGGCTTCTACCCACAAGATGCCAGTAGCATCCTTGCAAAGTGTGATGACCAGAAATATCCGAGACACTACTCAGAGGCAAAAAAACTGCCTCTGGTTGAGAACTACTACTTTAAAGACATAGCTTTCACCCTTAGTAGAGGATTCAAAGTGATTTGCTTCTACTCACAAATAAATTCTGGCCAATGCTCAGCTTTGTTGCTAAGAAGACATCATATACTTGTTAGAAGACTTAACAATGGCAACCCCAAATAGTAAGGAACTCTTTAGCACACAGAATGCAGCAAAACCCAGATTTCAACTAAGAAAAAAATAGTTAAGGCAGGTCCACAGACAGTTATATTCTCCCACAAGAAGCTGTAGCCACATCCTCTCTAAACTCAATGCCACTGTTTTATACCTGGAAAAGATGACTAGTTAGGGAATTATCCCTCTCTCCTATTTTCATGTCTTCATCTAAAGCTATTAATACTCAAGTTCACTGTCAACTATTTTCAGATTTGCATTTAAATGGAAAATAAAATTCTGACATAGCTGGCTTATTGCAGACCATCTTACTTTAGACTTCCTATGTTTTGATGCTGCTATGCATGAACTGTTTAAAGAAAACGGAAACTATTTTGTTATATAGTTTAGTTAACACATCCTCTAGGGAGGCAATTGCTCTGCGTTTATAGGACCTCTGTCTCACCTGTGGTGTAAGGTCAGTAACAATTTTAGGAAAAAGATACCAGGTACTACTGGAAGCTAGTCACAGATCCACAAATGAATTTACTCTATGTGCATAAGATCCATAAAAGACATAAAATGTTTTATGCAGTTCGAGTCACACCAACTCGGATTAATAAAGGAAACAAAGTTTTATGACTTCAAGATTATTCTCAAGTGACATATCACTAAAAAAGAAGCCCAAGTATCATGATGGCTTGGGGAACTGTATTATCTTTCTACAACTTTTCAAAGTGCTAAATGAAATGTCACTACCGTTGAGGATTTAGCTAGAGCAAACTTACATTCCCAGCACAGAGCCAAAGTGCCCCTAAAGGTTTGCTTCCTGCAAATGCCTTCTCTAACTACACATAAATAGAGAGCCGTTCCACCAAGAGAACTACAGTTGGCTTCTGCTTATGATCTTGTTTTATATTTATATATAAAAATCAATACAAACATAATCTTCCAAAATGTTGTTCCTTAGCCTACAAGAAATATGATGAAAGAAAATTTTTATCCCTGATGGAATGTAATACCCTAATTCATGGGTTACTCCAAGATTTTTTCTTAGGAAGGAATTAGGAAAAAATAGCTGAATTTATAAATACTGCAATACAATGTTTGTTTGCTTTAAATAAAGGGAAAGATAGGGAAATTATCTTAAGGCAGGGTTTGCTTAGCAAGCACCCTGGGTTTATATACGATGGAAGTTTACTGAGAATGGCTTAGAACGATGGGAGGGTTGACCTCCTCACACGACCAATATATGACTCCATGGACATCTGCGGCCCTGGATATAAAAGAAGATATCACATCATCACCCCAGTCATCTCAGTATAACTAACAAGGATAAGTTAGTTGATAATCACAATTAATGTTGAAAATGGTCTTGATTTTGACATTCTGGTTTTACATAGAGAATCAACTGACAACTATTCCATTGATAATCTGGGGTATAATATCAGCTAAAGTTTCCATTTAACTTAAAATATATTGTACTATCATCCTTCCTAATATTTTATTTTAGATTTAATATCTTCTATTTTAATATATTTTACAAAGTCATATTTATCATCATATTTCATGTTCACACTTAGAAGGAGAACTGGCCTGCTTTTGACCTCCATGGCCGAAGATGAATTACTAAACACTTAAGAGTGCTCAAAGTATTCATAAAGGAGATACATAAGAAAGGCAAGAAACAATTCACTGGATGTACTTCCTAAGGGGTCAAAGCTCAGTGGCAACCAGAACGAAAAAGTCACTCCACTCCAGTATGTCTAACTCTAATGATCTTAGAATGACCTTGGTTGTGTGGATTTTCATTCAATAAATAGTTCCCAAGGCATTCAGCTGGCTCTGGGACTACCTGGTAGAAAGGGACTTTCCTTTCTTCCAGGGAAAGCAAAAACAAAACCAGGGCCCAACATGAAAGCTCTCCCACTAGATGAAAGGTCTAGGTATTAAGCAAAATAAGCATAGCAATCTACGTAAAATGTAACCAGAGTAAATGCTCGGAGATTTAGGGAGGATGATTTCAATCAGTAAAGGAGTCCCTGAAAAGATTATGATTAACTAGAAGAGAAAGGAGGGAAACATATTCTATGAAGAGGGAAGGAACAGACAGTGCAAAAGGAGATAAGAAGGACTGACAAAAGTCCAGGATGTTTAGAGCAGCCAGAAGGAAGGGAAGTGGTTTGCTATGTTCCTCATTAAGCACCAGGCAGAGGCTAGTGGACCAATCACCAGAGGGAGCCAGTGGAATATTTCGAGGTAGACTAGATTAGAGGATGTGCATTTTACAAAATTTCTGTAGTCACTGTATGGAGACCAGACTAGAAGGCAGCAACCTAGCAGTACAGATGCATCTCCATATGAAAGGGCAGATGGGACAAGAGGAATAAGCACAGTGTTGATGAGTCATGGAAAAACTGCATAGTAAAAACGTAAGGACAAAGTAACCAATTGAACATGGGAAGATAAGGGGAAGAAGGTAGGTTTCTGGCTGGTAACTGGTAGATAATGGCATTCTTCAGAGATGGTGAGAATTAAAAATAATACTATTTGGGGTGAAAAGTATTGGCTTCTAAGTCTTGAATAAGAATCCCCAACCATTAAATCTCCTTTAAAGCAGTGGGTATTTCTACTTGAGTAAATCATCTGGATGTGGATTCTTGCCATGGTGTTTTGATACATTGGCCTGTCAACTCTGAAGCTTTTACTTTAAATCGGGCTTGTGAAGAAGCTGAAATGAATTTAGTGGCACTGCCTAAAATAATGAATTCTCCCACCAAATCACTGCTCTTTAAAATCTGACACACAGGATGATGCTGGGAAATGGGCTTTTCAAAAAGGCCCAAGCAGATTTTTCAGCACATAATGATGTTCTCTTGATGGCAGAATAAGATCGAGGGGAGGAACCCCACAGTTGATAAGTCATAAATGGTAGTTGCATTTTGTCTATACTTGCCTTTGTAGTTTTGACTTTATTGCCACTGCTACAGGACCAACCTGAGTAATCGGGCAGTACTTTACAATCCTCTCCTTCCAAACAGGGATTCATGTGACACCACCATTTCTGAATCACGATGGAAGCTGAAAAACAAAGGCCGGATAATATTTGTGACAGTTTCTTCCTCCAAAGATGGAAAAAATAAATCTCAGTACAAATTAGTACACTGACCTCAAAGATTGGTATTAAGAATAAATTTACTATTAGTAAATTTAAGGACTCCAATCAGGCATATACTCTATAAATTATTTCATTTATTAAAATGTTTAAAAGCAACAGATGTTGGTGATGATGCAGAGAAAAGGGAACCCTTACACACTGTTGGTATGAAGATAAATTAGTACAACCTCTATGGAAAACAATATGGAGAGTTCTCAAAGAACTAAAAATCAACCCTTCAATCCAGCAATCCCACCACTGGTTATCTACCCAAAGGAAAAGCGACTGTTATATCAAAAAGACACCTGCACTCATATGTTTATCACAGCACTAGTTACAATAAATAGCAAAGTCATAGAATCAACACGTATCCATCAGTGGAGGACTGGATAAAGAAAATGTGGTATAGACACACTATCAAATACTACTTAGCCACGGAAGAGAATGAAATCATGTCTTTTACAGCAACATAAATGGAACTGGAGGTGATTCTTAAGTGAAATAACCTAGAAACAAAGTCAAATCTGCATGTTCTCACTTATAAATGAGAACTGAATAATGTGCACACAGAGACATAGAGTCGTGGAGCAATAGACATTGGAGACTTGGAAGGGTGGGAAGGACAAGAAGTTACTTAAGGGATACAAGGTACACTATTTGGATGATGGCTACATGAAAAGCCCCGACTTCACCATTATGTATCCTTAAATTTATACAAAGAAATAGTTCACTTTTGCAGTGGACTGCCCAATTATAAAATTTGGCTGCTGAGATCTCAGGCTTTGAATCTGTGCCATTGTCTAGATTAGACTAGTTCTCAGACTTCTCTTAGTGTCGGTTTCTTCATTTGAAAAGTAGATACTCATCCCAGGATAGTAAGAGGGTAAATTAATACACGTGTGAAAGTCTTTGCTGACTTTCAGCCAGTCACAGTCATCTCCGAAAATGTCAGCTATTATTATGGTCATCATCTTTGATTGCAGGTTACCATGGTATTGCAACTGGTTCTTCTGTTTGACGCTGTTAATAGCAAAGACTAAAAGCACTAACAATTCACATCATACACGGTGTTGATCTCACCATGCCATTCTGGCAAGTGGCCAGCAACTACTTAAAGTCAGTTACAAGCCGCCACAGGAAGGTAGGAGGCCCTGGCATTCCTTTATCTTTTCATATGCCTGTTGGTCATTTGTGTGTCCTCCTTGGAAAAATACCAATTCAGTTTATTCCTACTTTTTAAGTGGGGTATTTACTTTTTGGCAGCTGAGCATGTGGGTTTCTTTTATATTTTGGATCTTAATTCATCTGATAAATGAAAATATTTTCTCCCATTCTCTAGGTTGCTTTTTTATTTGATGAAGTCCCAAGTTTATTTTTACTTTTGTTGCCATAACCAAAATATCATTGCTAAGACTAATACCAAGGACATTTTCCCCTATGTTTTCTTCTAGGAGTTTCATTTCATAGATTACATTTACATCCTTTTCAAGTTAATGGTTGCATATGATTAAGTAACAGGTTTAACTTCATTCTTTTGCATGGGAATATTTTTCCAGCACCCTTTATTGAAGAGATAATGTTTTTTCCATTGTGTAGTCTTGTCACCCTCTCAAAAACTAGTTGACTATAAATGCATGCATTTATTTCTGAGTTCCCTATTCTGTCCCATGGGTCTATGTGTCTATTTTTATGCCAATGCCATACTGTTTTGATAACTATAGCTTGGTAATATAATTTGAATCAGGGGTTGTTTGCCTCCAACTCTGTTCTTCTTTCTCAAAATTGTTTTATCTATTTGGGGTCTTTTGTGGTTCTATATGAATTTTAGGACTTTTTTTATCTTTGTGAAAAATGCTGTTGGAATTTTCTTAGAGATTTTATCTGTAGACTGCTTTGGAGAGTATGGCCTTTTTTTTTTTTTTTTAAGATGTTTTCATCTCCAGTTTAATCTAGTCACACCTCTTTTACTACAATACTTAATGTTCAATGATTATGTTAAATTTCTATATCCATTTACATGGCATTAACATGGGAATGATCAAGAACTGTCCATATACATTTAGTCAGTTCAAACTGCATCAATTTATTCCTACAGGCATATATTTTTATTTATTTAATTTATGTATTTTACTTTTGGTGCATACTATATCTGGCATTTCTCCCCATGTTATCCCCCCCTCACTGTCCCCAGTGTGTGATGCTATTCTACCTGAGTCCCCGTATTCTCATTGTTCAACACCCACCTATGAGTAAGAATATATGGTGTTTGGCTTTCTGTTCTTGTGTCAGTTTGCTGAGAATGATGGTCTCCAGATTCATACAAATCCCTACAAAGGACACAAACTCATCGTTTTTTATGGCTGCATAGTATTCCATGGTGTATATATACCACATTTTCCTCATCCAGTCTATCACTGATGGGCATTTGGGTTGGTTTCAGGTCTTTGCTATTGTATACAGGGCTGCAATGAACACCCATGTGCATGTGTCTTTATAGTAGAACACTTTATAGTTCTTTAAGTATATACCCAGTAATGGGATTGCTGGGTCAAATGGAATTTCTATTTCTAGATCCTTGAGAAATCACCACACTGTCCTCCACAATGTTTGAACTAATTTACATTCCCACCAACTGTGTAAGAGTGTTGCTATTTCTCCGCATCTTCTCCAGCATCTGTTGTCTCCAGATTTTTTAATGATCACCATTCTAACTGGCATGAGATGATATCTCAGTGTGGTTTTGATTTGCATTTCTCTAATGACCAGTGATGATGAGCATTTTTTTCATGTTTATTGGCCTCATATATGTCTTCTTTTGAAAAAGTGTCTGTTCATATCATCTGTCCGCTTTTGAATGGGCTTGTTTTTTTCTTGCAAATCTGTTTTAGTTCTTTGTAGATTCTGGATATTAGCCCTTTGTCAGATGGGTAGATGGCAAAAATTTTTTCCTATTCTGTTGGTTGCTGATTTGCTCTAATGATGATTTCTTTTTGCTGTACAGAAGCTCTGGAGTTTAATCAGATCACATTTATCTATCTTGGCTTTTATTGCCATTGCTTTTGGTGTTTTAGTCATGAAGTCCTTGCCTATGCCTATGTCCTGGATGGTTTTGCCTACGTTTTCTTCTAGTATTCTTATGGTGTTGGGCTTTATGTTTAAGTCTTTATCCATCTGGAGTTAATTGTAGTGTAAGGTGAGGTAGGGGTCAAGTTTCTGCTTTCTGCACAATGCTAGCCAGTTTTCCCAACACCATTTATTAAACATGGAATCCTTTCCCCATTGCTTGTTTTTGTCAGGTCTGTCAAAGATCAGATGGTTGTAGATGTGTGGTGTTTCTTCTGGGGTCTCTGTTTTGGTACGAGTACTATGCTGTTTTGATTACTGTAGCCTTGTAGTATAGTTTGAAGTCAGGTAGCATGATGCCTCCAGCTTTGTTCTTTATGCTTAGGATTGTCTTGGCTATGAGGGCTCTCTTGTGATTCCATATGAAGTTTAAGGTTGCTTTTTCCAGTTCTGTGAAGAAGGTCATTGGTAGCTTGATGGAGATAGCATTGAATCTATAGATTACTTTGGGCAGTATGGTCATTTCACGATATTAATTCTTCCTAACCATGAGTATGGAATGTTTTTCCATTTGTTTGTGTCCTCTCTTATTTCCTTGAGCAGTGGTTTGAGGTTCTCCTGGAAGAGGTCCTTTACATCCTTTTATTATTGTATTTCTAGGTATTTTATTCTCTTTGTAGTGATTGTGAATGGGAGTTCCCTCTTGATTTGACTCTCTTTAAATTGTTATTGGTGTATACGAATGCTTGTGATTTCTGCATATTGATTTTATAACCTGAGGCTTTGCTGAAGTTGCTTATCAGTTTGAGAAGATTTTGGGCTGAGATGATGGGGTCTTCTAGATATACAATCATGTCATTTGCAAATATAGACAGTTTGACTTCCTCCTTTCCTAATTGAATATCCTTTCTTTCTTTGTCTTGCCCGATTGCTCTGGCTAAAATTTCCAATACTATATTGAATAGGAGTGGTGAGAGAGGGCATCCTTGTCTAGTGCCTGATTTCAAAGGGAATTCTTCCAGCTTTTGCCCGTTCAGTATGATATTGGCTGTAGGTTTGTCATATATGGCTTTTATCATTTTATAATATGTTTCATCAATATCTAGTTTATTGAGAGTTTTTAGCATAAAGCGCTGTTGAATTTTATCAATGGCCTTCTCTGCATCTGTTGAGATAATCATGTGGTTTTTGTCTTTAGTTCCGTTTATGTGATGGATTACATTTATGGATGTGCATATGTTGAACCAGGCTTGCATCCCCGGGATGAAGCCTACTTGATCATAATGGATAAGCTTCTTGATGTGTTGTTGCAATCATTGCCAGTATTTTATTAAAGATTTTTAATTGATGTTCATCATGGATATTGGCCTGAAGTTTTCTTTTTTAGTTGAGTCTCTGACTGGTCTTGGTATCAGAATGATGTTGGTCTCATAAAATGAGTGAGGGAGGATTCCCTTCTTTTGTATTGTTTGATATAGTTTCAGAAGGAACAGAACCAGCTCCTCTTTGTTTGTCTGGTAGAATTCAGCTGTAAACCCGTCTGGACCTGGACTATTTTTGATTGGTAGGCTATTAATTGCTGCCTCAACTTCAGCCCTTCTTATTGGTCTATTCAGGGTTTCAATTTCCTCCTGGTTTAGAGTACAAGTGTCTAGGAATTTATCCATTTCTTCCTGGTTTACTGGTTTATGTGAATAGAACTGTTTGTAGTAAACTCTGATGGTAGTTTGCATTTCTGTGGGATCAGTCATGATATCCCCTTTATCATTTTTTATTGCATCTATTTGATTCTTCTCCCTTTTCTTTTTTATTAATCTGGTTAGCAGTCTTTTTTTTTTTGATATTTTCAAAACACCAGCTC